TCCAAAACACTGGACTCTTGGCCATCCGTTTAATGCACACGCTTTTACCACATTAGCTCCATTATCTGTTGTTATACAGGTCTGCTTCTTCTCATCTAGATTCCAGGACTGGAGTGTATCTTTCAACCCTTCACTTATGTTTTCACCTGTATGATCTTGCGGAAAGAATAATGTATGGAGGCAAATTGTTTGTAACTCCCAGTCATCATTGATGAAGTGAACAGTGTAACTATAATAAGGTTCCATAGATCGGGAAGACCATATGTCAGTTGTGGCTGAGAAATTATCAGTATGTGACAGTAGGCTTGAAACTTGGCGGTGTACTTTATTGTAAAGTTCCGGAATAGCCACCGTTGAAAAGAATTTTCTGCTTGGTAAGGTATACCTGGGCTCAAGCGTTTTCAGTAGGGAAATAAACCCCCCTTTCTCCACTGTGTAAATTGGAACCATTTCTGATGTTAGGTATTTGGTTACCGCCTCTGTTATGTTTATCCACCTTTTTGTAGTCTTTTCCAAAGGAAAACAATCAGTGGCTGGTCTAGTTGACAAAGATTTTGATGAATTTGTTGCAGCACGAGTCGCACGACATTTGTTGGCCGGAGCCCTTGTATTATTGAAATTCAAGCTTTTGTACTGACTTGGGTGTCGTGTTCGCAAATGGTGATATAGGTTGGTTGTGTTGCCACCTTTAGCCATTACTGGATTTGTGCAAACTTTGCAGAATATTGTGGCCTGGTCTACGTCCTTTGGCTTAAACCCAAAGAAAGTCCAAACGGGACTGGAGGAATTTTTTTTAGGCAGCAAATCGTCGCTTGTTGTCACTTTTTTACTGTTGCTAGACGCCATGATGGATATTTACCTTTGACCCGCCGGTACGTAATATGCTATATTTTATACTTGTAGACGAATTTAATTCTATCAATAGAATGACATACTAGTTAGTCGAAGCAGAATATTAAGTTTTAATATAACGATAATATGTAACCAGAACTAGCAGGGTTCTAAAATCTACTTTTCTGAAAATCAGAACAGTGACAGTTGCGACTGGGGTAAATACTCTCCAACCTTGACCTTGCCAAACACATTTTCCTCGCTTACGAGTCCAAGCGACGATGTATTATCAATATTGGGACATGATAATTATCATAATCGCGATAATTTTTTTAAGTCACGATAAACCGGTTTTTCGATATTTTTAAGTAAGTCCGATATGATAAAATCGCCGATGATTTTATCACGGTATACCGAAATACCGGTATATCGCCCAACCCTAATGCAACGGTATATTCTTTAGAACGACCGAATTCAACATTCTAAAATAACATTCGTAGGTTTATCGGGCCATTGCGGTTTCCAACACAAAAACAATTTTTAAATATTTTACGGACACGAAAGGTAACGTGCGCAACCTCATAGTCAGATGAACGTAAAAAAAAATCAACAAACAGCGGAGTGTCAAATATGGTTTTAAATGATAATTTGAACAATTATGTATTTCATTAAAAGTCAGCATGCTTCATTTCTTTGCCTGTAATACTGGCAATCATGGAAGGAAAAGGTTCAGATTTCCATGTCACAATTTTGCAGGTTGAAAATAACGAATTTTGACAATTGTTGATAGATAAAAAAATTAAAAAAATATTCACTGAACCAGTTTTATTTATATTACTGCAGGTATTGATGCATTTATTGAAACGAATGAAATATTTGAAATATCAAAATTTTAATTATAAATCAAATTTATATTAAAGCATTCGAAAAGTGCCCAATACTGAAAAGTGACCCATAGAGGTCATAATTTTTATCCGATTTAAAAAAACGTATTATTATATCACCGTTACACCCTAAGGACGGCCGAGATTGAATTTTGTGAAAATCGGACAAAATGGCCGCCCTTCGTTCTCAAATAAAAATATGGTATATCAAGGTTGTGGACCCTATAGAGGTCACAATTTTAATCCGATTTTGTTGAAATTTGAAATATAAGTTTATAACCCAAAGATCTCAGTTCCCATTGATATTCGCGCATATTAGACCGTAACTTCCTGAATTATGGCCCCTGATTGTAAAATCACGTTTTTATCTTTGTGGACCCTATAGAGGTCATAATTTTGATCCGATTTAAAAAATCGTATTATTATATCACCGTAACACCCGAAGGACGGCTGAGTTCGAATTTCGGCCCAGAACTGACAGATGAAATAGCCGCCCTTCATTCTCAAATAGCGTAAAAATATGGTATATCAAGGTTGTGGACCCTATAGAGGTCACAATTTTTTTACCGATTTTGTTGAAAATTGAAATGTAAGTTTATAACCCAAAGATCTTGGTTCCTTTCGATATTCGTGCATATCGGAATTTAACTTCCTGAATTATGGCCCCTGATTGTACGAAAAATTGCGTTTTTCGCTTGTGGACCCTATAGAAGTCATAATTTTTAATCGATTTAAAAAACTGTATTATTATATCACCGTTACGCCCTAAGGACGGCTGAGTTCGAATTTCATGAAAATCGACCCAAAACTGACAGACAAAATGGCCGCTGCTTGTTCTCAAATAGCGTAAAAATATGGTATATCAAGGTTGTGGACCCTATAGAGGTCACAATTTTTTTCCGATTTTGTTGAAAATTGAAATGTAAGTTTATAACCCAAAGATCTTGGTTCCTTTCGATATTCGTCCATATTGGAATGTAACTTCCTGAATTATGGCCCCTGATTGTACGAAAAATCACGTTTTTCGCTTGTGGACCCTATAGAAATCATAATTTTTAATCGATTTAAAAAACTGTATTATAACCGTTACGCCCTAAGGACGGCTGAGTTCGAATTTCATGGAAAATGACCCAAAACTGACAGACAAAATGGCCGCTGCTTGTTCTCAAATAGCGTAAAAATATGGTATATCAAGGTTGTGGACCCTATTTTGTTGAAACTTGAAATGTAAGTTTATAACCCAAAGATATCGGTTCCTTTTGATATTTGTGCATATCAAATAGTAATTTCCTGAATTATGGCCCTTGATTGTAGGAAAAATCACTTTTGTTTAGCTTGTTCTCTATCCATCTCTCAAAAATGTGGGCTTATCCTGCCTGGCAGCCGCTGGTATTTTTTAACATTGCCTTTTTGGGGGTTTGTTTTTCGTTTTGGTTGCTATAACCACTAAAAATTAAGTAATATACAAGAGTAAAGATAAGTAATTTTAACAATTCACAAAGATATTTACTTGTAAACAAAATGTCTCTTCAAGATCTTAATTCCTTCATATTTTATTTATGTCTTAATAGCAGCCAAAATGGACAATTTGCTACTGCAGAATGTTTTTCAAAAGTGACCCCCTTTCCAGGTTTAAGAGAATAGTATAAATATTTTGATTTAATTTGTAAAATCTTGCCCAATAGCTTCTGATTTTAAAATAATATAATTATCAATACCGGGTATTGGTGTCATAATTATTGGAAAATAATGCTTTTTGGAAAAAAATAACTGTTGTTGCTATGGTAACAACCCAAACTCTTCATATTTTTTTCTTGAACTTACACAATCCATATCATTTGATATTACATGGGTTATGGTAAATAAAAAGTATGTAATACGAAGGTTGTGGACCCTCTAGAGGTCACAATTTTATCCGATTTTGATGAAACTTCAAATGAATGTTCATAACCTAAAGATCTCGGTTCCTTTCGATATTCACACATATCGGACCATAATTTCCCGGATTATGGCCCCTGATTTTACAAAAAATCACATTATTTTTTTTAGATCGTTTTGTCCATCTCTTGCAAAATGTGGGTGTATCTTGCATTGCAACCGCTTGTGTATACTCGACATTAGCCAAACAAATTCTAATGATTTTCTGACATAAATGTTTCATTACTGACAAAAGTTAAAATATGCGACAACTCTTGTTGACTGCCCAGACGATTTAGCCGCTGTTGGCCTGGCAACCTATCTTTTATAACTTGAACAGCTAAATCTGTGATATTAAATGTTTTGTATTCAACATCAGGCCAAAAAAAAAAAAGGGTTTTGTTTCCTGTAACGGATGGAAAATAGGGTAGGGTCGGTAGGTAGGGGTTTTTTTTTTTTCTTCTTTTTTTAAATGTTACATAGTTAGATCTAGTAGATGTACCGTAGCATAATATTCTGTGCGAAAATATTCAATTTTATGTTAGGTTGAGTCGGCGCCGAGGAACATAAACCATGAATAGATTGGTGGATGGAATTCTTGGATAATTGTTTAAAATGTATCAGAGGCTAGATTATGATTTAAATATTCTCTTAGGGGGCAAATGGACTTTTTAATCGTTCTATGCTAAACAAAAAATAGCGTAGGGAGGCCCTTTTGTTCAAGGGAAAGAACTTGCGATGAAAGCTTAAAAAATCATATCGTGCCATCGCACGAAATAGGTCCGTAATAAATTTATTTGTCTTGTTTTAAATACCAATCAAGCACATCCTATCCACCTGTTTGAAATATACGTTAGCTTGTTTTTGTCAAATTGTGTGCCGTTACTTTTATTAGAACAAAGGTTGTGAGGATTATGGCTTTTCGGGATGTGCTGTGTTAAATCTATACGAAACCTGTAGTCTCGATTTTCACATCAGTTAGCAATCTCGTGTCAACAGTATGATAGTTCTTAATAATCGTTTGCTGTACCAGTGTACAGTACTCGCTTATTCCGATCGGTAGATGCAGGTTCAGAGAACGATGACATTTATATCCATTTATAGCAACAAATAATAAAGTATTTTGAATGGTCGCTCGCTGAACAAAACAGTTTTTTATTTCCCTTGACACTAAAAAAAAAATTGAATGCCCGTACGAATTAGCTACTGTGGGCATGTTTTGTTGTCTGGCAACCTATTTTTCAACTTAATGGCTATTTATTCTTTTGTTTGATAAAAAATTTATGTACCTGTTCTTTTTAATTTCAAAAACAATTTATATGTTTTTGGCATATGTTTGTTGTCTGGCAACCTATCTTTATCATTAAGGTGAGAATGGCAGCATTTCAACAACTGGGACCATTTATATCAACTTTTGCTGATCCAAATACCACTGGATTATATGTTAACGAAGAAGGTCATATATATTTTCGCAATATTTATGATCAGAAGGATGACAAGTAAGTAAATTCTTTTGTAGACTGCTAGATAATCTAAGTTCCAACGTTCGAATGCCTCACCATTATACCTAAGGACAGTTGAGTTAGAATTTTGTAAAAATCATACTAAAACTGCATTACAAATTGGCTGTTCCTTGTACGCAAATAGTGTGAAAGTATACACAGGAGTCTGACCTTCTATCCGTATATATATATATATGCATACACCATGTCCAACCAGACAATATATAATAAAAAAGAACAGGAATGCAATGCCTGTTGGAGCCTTGATTTTACCTGCTCTCGCTTCGGCTTGTTTTTTTTTTTTCAACAATTCGTAATTTGCATAAATACTCCCCACAAAACGATATCATAGCCACTTGTTTTCAATAGTTACATTAACGATGGTCATTGCCGCCATGCGCTGAGAATTTTAAGAAATAGGACAGATTTGAAAATGTTGCTCTTACAAAACGTCCAAATAAAGGTGTTCTAAAATCTTTTAATGCTATTTTGTATGGCGGTGCATTAGATTCAAAATTCTAACTTCTATTCATGTTATTTATATATAGATTTTAGTGTATTATAAATGTTTCATTACAGAAAAAAGTAAAAATATGCGACAACTATTGTTGACTGCCCGGACGATTTAGCTGCTGTGGGCGTATGTTTCGTTGCCTGGCAACCTATCTTTTGTTAATATTTTGTCTGTAAATTTAGCAAAACAAACGCAACGCCTAGCCTTCTTTGCCGCTCGTCATAGTACAGCAATTTCATATTTCATTCTCTTCATTTTAAAAAGTACATCAATCGAATCAGGAATGTGGACATATATTGCAGCGTTAGCGATGTTCTTGTTCTGTTTATAGAATGATTATTAAAAACAACAAAAATGTTTTTGTCAAACATATTTTATGTAAAATTCTCCAAATTTTTTAACGAAAACATTTTTGGACTTGGGAACACAATAACTCTCATTCTAATTGATCTAAAACATTCAAACTTGGTGTAGGTGTTTATTAGGTCAGTGCCTTGATTGAGTTTGATTGGCCGAGAAAGTTCATCCAGATTTTCCGGCGTGGTTCTCCCTTGTCAGTGATGCAGGACGGAGGGGCTGGCAAGGAAAGCTGTCTAGTCGTTCGGATGGGACGAAAAACCGAGGTCCCGTGTACACATTGGCGTGCACGTAAAAGATCCCTTGGCAGTTGGAATTCGATATAAGAGTAGGCCGTAGTGCCGCTGTCCGGGCAAAATTTCCCTCATAGCACACTGTATGGCGTATGCCCGTCTTCATTAGCCCAGGTAAGGAGCAGAACAGTAGGACGTTAAACCCCATTTCATTTGATTGAGTTTGATGAGAAATTTCTGCTTAGGGTAAGCAGAGATGAGCAATTTGATTTGTTGATGCTTTGGGACATAATAACTTTAGTTCTAATTGAGGTAGAATGTTTAAACTTGGCGTAGGTGTTCATTAGGTGAATGTCTTGACTGAGTTCAATGATTAACATTTCGAGCAAAAGCTAAGCAATTTCATTGGTAAATGCTTTGGGACAAGATAACTTTGATTCTATCTGATAGTGATGAAACTTAGTGTAGAGGTGATAATCTGTTTAATTGCTTGATACTTTTGAAAAACAAAAAATGTGCGATTAATGAATGTGTCCTATCTATTTTGGGATTTCGGCGGGGGACATCAGCCTCACTGTTGGCTTGTGTATTTGAAAATCCAAAGGTACATTTTCAAATATTTATGGCATAGTTCAGGGCCTAAAATAAGGTTTAATTCTCAGAGCACGGATTTAGAGTCTGCGGAGCCGCGAAGCACATCGGCAGGGGATCTGGGGGGCCTCTCCCTGAAAATTTTGAAAATTGAGAGCTTGAAACCGGCATCTGTGGACTATTCTGGTGCAGTTTACATATGAATTTATTTTGTCGCGAGCAGCTTTTTTCGCATGAAAACTCAACACTAGGAAGACAACACACCAATTTTGTTACGATAATACAGAACTGTAATTCAATTTCTACCATTCTTACATCAAAACTAAAATCCCATGATATGAATCCTATCATTAACAAGGGTTTTAACAAGGGTACAAAATAAAAATCTGATTGTCTTATAAAGTCTTTTTAGGTAGGGTGGTTCGTGCAAATAAAAAAATCCAATAAACGAGCTATATTTGGGGCTTATTTTAACAAATATGATAAGACTCACCATTAAAATCATCATTCATTAACAATTAAACTATTGCTAAGTTGGATATTTGTGTGATTTAACCATTTGAATGGGACTTTCTAATATATGGAAAAGTTGATCGACCAAGTGGCGTTACAGCGGTAGATTTTTTTCATCAAAAAGAGTTATTTTTCTTGGTCACATCAAAGTTTCAAATTTTGCTCTGGAAAACGAACTCTTAATTTCCGCAGTCGGTATTCTTCGTTTTTTACGTACGTACAATTAACGATTGAATTTAACATTTGTACGCGTGCGCAGCCCTTAGTTAGAGAGAAAGGTTGTCTGTATTTTGAGCTGAATTTTTTTTAACGTTTACATGCAATAGATTATAGTCAAAACTTTCTAATAAGGGGTGAATTTCGTGGTTTACAAACGCAGTATGTAGAGAGTGCTTACCGTACTCATATTGTAGATGTTAAATATCTTTAGGATAATCCTATTTTGTTTCAAATAATTATCACAAATATAAAAATCATACACATCAAAAACAGAGGAGCACACGACATGCGCAAAAAAAAAAAAAGGCTTAAGCATTTTCAAATCGGTTGGGCAGCAGTAGTCCAAATGTCTAGCATTGCATCCGGAATTCCCTATAAGAATCTAGTTAGAGTCAAAAATGCGACTCCTACACATTGTGCTCTAAACTGTGTTATAAATTATAGAATAAACCGTAAATCAATTGAACCCATTTCAAGGTGGAACTGCATGCTTTTTGATATGATTGGGTTATTTGTGGCTCCAGATAATCTAAAAATAGAAGTCGATACGTGACAATGCGTCTCGAAAAATTCTTTGATCTGTTATATGACTGGAAAATTCTGTTATTAAAAACAACCGGCATGACAATGGCTACATAATAAGTTGGAAGTTCTACAATAGGGATCTTTTAGTGAAATGTTAGAGAAATTTAAGTTTAAATATATCCTTTGTGTTTGAATTACCACTTATGGTTGGTTGTGTCGTATTATGTATCAATCTGGAAATTTCTGTTTTATAGCTATTGTTCTCGAAAGTAAGACACACAATTTACGCATCGTGTCGCGTTTTCATATTTTTAATAATTATGAAACAGTCAATGCGCGTCTTTTTGGTTATATTTCAGTTCTAGAAAAATGAGTTGTTGATGGATTTATAATAACTGAAACGTTTTGTAATTACCACCATGTTAGAAATGGCAAATGCATAAGGATACTAAACACGAATAATGGCATAGCCTCCTATTAAATTTGACACAAAGCCGGGGGCCAAATTCGCAGCGCCCTAAAATGTTTAGAATCTGAGTCTTGTGACCAGTACCGTAACATGTCTGGTTAATCGAGACTATGGAAAATAATTTTGTTCAATTAATTTCCAGTCTCAATTTTTTTCTGCGTATTTAGAGCTAGCAACAATGTAACTTCTAAAGTAACTAAAGCGCCCACTAACAACAGAGTTTTACGGTTAAATAAAAGTAACTTTCACAGTCTTGCAGTGTCGGTATGTTGCCACGAGAGTGGATTTAAAAGATAGAAAAAGGGCGAAACTACATGAGTTGACTCTGAACCGAGAACCGTTAAAATATATATATATATATAAGTCATTGATATAAGTCATTGGTTACAATCAACTAACTTAGAAATTAAATCGCCGAGTTTTAGCCAAAATTTTTATCTAGTTCGTAACTACTTATTTTTAAAAGTCCAACGAGTAAAGAATAATTTTTTACATGGCTTCATTGATAAATAAGTGAATGAATATTGTCACGTGAATGTCTATTTTGGGCAACTGTTTGCTGCCTACAGTGCACGAGTGAGCCCGTGAGAGCATTTTTCTCATAAACGAAGTTTAGATCCGCGTGACAACATGCTGTTAAAACAGGTCAGTTTATATAGTACAGATAATTGAGTCTGTGGGCCACTCTACTTTAGGGAGTGAATGTGGAGTCAGGTCGAGATTTTATGGAACATAGGCTGACTTAGGCGAAGTATTTCTATTTGGCCTCTGGAAAAACTCCTTTGAACCATGCCTGCTCAAGAGCCTTGGGTGCCGGTTTGTCTCTCCGTTCTACTTTCTTCATCCAGTCATGGGCTGCTGGCCGAACATCAAATTCAGACAACAAGGGCATATTGATGCGAATGTTCAGGTATGCGTCCATGGTCTCCTCAGACAAGCTACAGCGATCTTTATCTTTTAGTTGGTTGTATGAGCTTACAAAACACTCTACATCACATGAATGTGGCTTCGCTGCTACTACACGAGCGATTGCCACGGACACAGGTAGCCAATTTTCATTTACAACAATAATTTTCAATATGTCCTCCAAAGTTTTCAATTTACCTGAACAAGTACCAAGATAGGCAATCACTTCATCATACGCCGACATAAATGATTTCTTACACGGGTCCTTTGCTATTGTCTGGTGAGCTCTCTCTCTCTCTATATCCTCGTTTGATGCTTTGCCGCTGTATAACATTTCAGGCGACAACGCTCTCAGCTCTTTTTGACGTTTAGTCTGTCACTCAGAAACGGCTCGAGGCTTTCGACGATCTCCGTTTTCAGAGCGCCGATCGAGCGCTGCCCACTCGTCACATAGTGATGTTGCCGCCGGGCATCTCGTTGCGACTTCAGGACGGAAGAAAGTTCTATTCCATCAAGAACCGACACGTAATAAGTTTATCTTCCTGGCCACCGCCGAGGCTGTCCTCCCAACAACCCTGACACCTTTTTCACATATACCTCTCGTAAAGTTTCAATATGAAACACAGTAATCATATCCGCCTGAATACTTTTTGAAATTGTTTATATACAT